ACGAAGAAATGGTTCAACGAGACGGCCAATTGTCGTTGGAAAGATGCAAAAAATAAAAGATTGAAGGCGGTTTTTGATAAAGCGCCTAACCTTGCAGCTGCTAAGGCAAATCTTCCGGATAGGATTAGCGCTCAAACTTGGGAGAGGCTGTGTGATCAGTTTCATTCTATTTCTACTCCGGGGGATGATGGGAAGGTAATATGATTTTAATTTATGATTATATTTTCATATGTTTATGTGTATTAATTTGTGCAATATTTTTCACAGTCCAAGTCCACTAAATGCAAGGACTCAAGAAAGAAAGTGTCGACAGACCACCATTGGGGTCGAACAAGCATCAATAGTTGGTCCTATAATCATGTAAGTGGCTTAATCTATAATTTTAATTTATTTAAGTTTATATAAAATACATACTTAATTATTGTATAATCTATTTTTTAGTTTAAAAAGTTTGGCAAAAATCCTACCGTGTTTGACACGTATAAGAAAGCCTACATGGGCATTGATGCGTTGAGGGAAACATCTATTAGTGAGGAAGGAGAGACAGAGCCGTATAACGGGACAGCAACTCCTGAACAACTTCTCATTTCGGTAAGTAAAGTGTAATTATATTCTTCAATCGGTAGTATGTTTAGATGTGTGGCTATGGATTTTTTTTTTTGAGTAAATATGGTTTTGGTTATGTTTAGATGTGTGGCTATGGATATTCTTTATATGTTTAGATGTGTGGCTATGGATATTTTTTTTTTAATATGTCAAGTTGTTGTTGGTCTCCAACAGTAATTTAACTGTCTTAGACAATAATATTAATAATATTACTGTTCGGAAAAATAATATTCAAGACAGTAATTTAGCAACGAATACAGTAATATTAATTAAAAATATTTTTTTTAAGAATAAAAAAGTCAATTAACAGTTAAATTACTGTTTCCGACAGTTAAATAACTGCTGGAGACAGTAATTTAGCAACGAATACAGTAATATCAATTAAAAATATTTTTTTTAAGAATAAAAAAGTCAATTAACAGTTAAATTACTGTCTCCGACAGTTAAATAACTGCTGGAGACAGTAATTTAGCAACAAATACAGTAATATTAATTAAAATATTTTTGAAGAAAAAAAAAAACAGTCAATTAACAGTTAAATTACTGTCTCCGACAGTTAAATAGCTGCCGGAGACAGTAATTTAGCAGCCAAGCCAAGACAGTAAAATTAATTAAAATATTTTTTTTAAGAAAAAAAAAAAAAAAAAAAGTCAACGCCGGAGACCCGGCGGTCAACGGCCGAAAAAATTTCAGGAAAACAAAATTCAAAAAAAAAAAAAAAAAAAAAAAAAGGTCAACGCCGGAGACCGGCGGTCTCCGGCGGTCAACGCCGGAATCTGGCCGGAAAAAAAATATTTCAGAAAAAAAATTATTTTCTGAAAAAAAAAAAGTTTTGGGGGTTAATGTGATATATTTGTTAAAATCCGGGGTCAATGTGTAATATTAAGGAAGTTAGATCATATTGGGTGGAATTGATAAGAATTAGGGTTATAATTGGGGTCAAAATTGAAATTTGGGTTAAAATTGGTTAATTGATGAAATTGGATAAATTGGGGTGTAAATCATGAAATTGGAGTTGAATTGGGTTTCAATGAATTGGGGGTAATTTTGGTATACATAAAGGGATTTTCCTTATTTGCAAATTAGTTTGAATGGGGTGGATTTATTTGAAAGACAAAAAAATTGGATGTCCCTATTTTAATTAAGTGCCCTTGTCATGGGCCTATTTGCCATTACCTCTTTAAAGAAATAGTAGCATTTAATAGCGGGCTTTGATTTTAGTAGCGGGTTTGAAAAAGTGTGAATCTTACCAACCGGACATGCTATTAGCCCCTACTATTTAGTCAGTAGAACCTTATAGCGGTAACCGAACGAGCCCTAAGAGTTAAGACTTAAGAGTGCCACATGTCAAAAATTTAATGAAATCCGATTTATATTAAATATCGGCTGATCTGCTCAGACTTTAATCTCTTTCTTTAAACATTAATTAATAAAAGCGTCCCATGTTTTATAAGTGGTGACAGCTCTCCCTCAATATGAATTCCTCTCTCTTATAAATTATGATACATTGACAATGTATATGGATATTGGATAGTAATACTGTAGTGGATTATATGAAACACAATGTATTAATTGGAGCCAAAAAATAATTGATAAAGTCTTCCATTTAACAAAGAGAACATGCTTTTATTCCATACTTTACCAACTCTAATCATTGGCTAAAAGCATTAATTAGTAGTCTGCACATTAATTTAATTAATTATGGTACCCGGCATGATTAGGGGGTGCTAATCCACTTACTAGTACACAGTTGATCTCTACTGTAGACTACAAGCATTATAACTTTCTTTTTCTTAAAAAAAAAATTGAAAATAGAGAACCAAACGTACCCCAGCTACTCAAGGTGCATTAGGTAAATTTCACACGATTACTATATAGTTAGGCGGTGTTTGCAAAGTGATTACTGGCAAATTCAACTTTTGCTTCTGTTTCTCTAAATACATTCAGCTTTTAATGCTTATTGATCTCATAAACACCCTTGGAGCTACTTCTCCAATCTAAAAGCACTTCATAACTAAATAACAAATGTGCATTTGATATTTTTAACCTTATTTTCCTTATCAATATTAGATATTTTACCAAAAAAAACAAAAATTATTTACAAACACATCAACTTCTGATGAATACTGTTCTTAATTTTTATAATTAGTTGCAAAAAACCCCAACTTTTATATGTAAATTAAGCAGTAAGATCAGAAGTTGTTCAGTAAGTATGATAATTAGCTGACTTTTGGTGCAATCATTTAGTAGGAATATTTTAATATACATGAAGTTGTAAATGAAAGGACAACTAGCATATTGAGATTAAACAATTGAGGTAATGTTATTGGTTAACAAATGTAGAGTAATGGAGTGGTACATACAATAATTAATAAAGAAAAATAAAATAAAATAAAGAGATAGAGAAAGAAGGGGGGCGGGGGAAGTAGTGGGGGGCGGTGAAGGTATTACAGCGGAAATTGTGTGGGGGTGCCAGCCAGCCTTGCACTCCAATTCTCATCTCTACAAACAACCATTCCTTCCCTTTTAGTTTACCGTGTTTGCTTCCAAGCCAACCGATTCCCTCTCCTTTCCGCCGCATATTATTTTTACGGTGAATTACGCTCACCTCTGAGATCAAATTATGATCATAACCGTTCATGTTTGAGTACTTACAACAACCCTCTCAATTCTGAATTTTCTTACACGTACGCCCATCTGTGAGGTGTTGAATTTACTAGATTATGTGGAATATTTTTACCCCATTCGAGCTTCACATTTTGAAACAAGATGATCGTCAGATGTATGTGTCTCTTTACTTGTAAATATCAGATTGCGGTACATCAGAAAAACCGTATTTTTGCACAAAACGAGTACAAACTAGAGAATATTCCATGGAATTTAGAAGATTCTTTTGAATTTGACACCGTAAGAATAAACGTGTAATTAAAAGATTCAGAAATGAACAAGTGGTTAAAATTACCCAAATAGAAGGAGTTTTTCGTAGTTTGGTCTTACCTGATGGGTGGTCGCAATTTACCCCATATATACACATATATATTTAATTTGTGTTTGTCACTTGGACAAGCTTCCTGCGTATAGTAAACATATACACATGTAAATTAGTTCCTGAGCTGTAAGTAGGGGTGGGCATTCGGGTCGGGTTATTCGGGTATAACCCGACCCGGTCGGGTATTACCCGACCGGATCGGGTAATTTTTGACGTAACCGGGTTTTTCCCGGGTTCGGGTACCCGGTGCTCCCAAACCGGGTCGGGTCCGGGTATTAGAAATTCTACCCGGGTACCCGACCGGGTACCCGGTTAAAAAAAAAAAAAAAAAAAAAAGATTTTTTTTATATATGTATATGTCTGTAAACAGACTATGTATAGATATGTATATGTTTGTATGTATATATATATATATATATATATATATATATATATAATATATGTATGTCTGTAACTGTAATACAGACTATGTATATAGATATGTATATGTTGTATATATATATATATTTATATATATAAATTTATATATATATATATATATATATATATATATATATATATGTCTGATTATATATGTATATTTTATGTAAATTTAGTTACTGTTTGTTTGATATTATTTTTATTTTTTTTGTGATTAATTGTTTTTGTGTAATAAATTTAGTAATTCTTTTGTTTTTATGAATCTGTGTATATAACAATATGTTTTACTTCCGTATTTGTAATCCAAGTAAAGAAACATCTAATATATTTTTGATATTTTATGAAGTTTGATGTCACATTTCGAATTGGAAGTAATAAATAATTATTAGGAAAAAAAATTAATAATAATAAAAAAAAAAAAAAAAAAAAAGAGGAAAATAGCAAAACCCGAACCCGACCCGAACCCGACCCGAAATAACCGGGTACCCGGTTGCCGGGTACCCGGTTATCTCGGGTCGGGTTCGGGTAATGTTTTTTTTGCAAAAAACCCGAATAACCCGACCCGAATAACCCGAATAACCCGACCCGACCCGAATGCCCACCCCTAGCTGTAAGGACAAGAAAAGAAGATCATCAGTGCAACATTTTCACGGGTTTTCTTTTCACTTTATAACACACTTCTCTCTCTCTCTCTCTCATACATATCTATATATGTATATGTATATATATATATATATATATATATATATATATATATATATATATAGTAACTCCAACTCCACTCTTTGTCCCACCTCTTTGTGTTTCCTTTTCTGACATTTTAGTTGGGAGAAAAGTGAAACAAATAAAGTGAGAGAAAGCAAAAAAAACAAGTCCTCCAAATTAAAGTATGTTCCTACAGGCCGATCTAGAAGATCAAGTAGTTATGCTCAAGGGAAAGCGAACCAAGCGTCCCCGGCCCCCCTCCTCCCTTGAATTAACTACCATGGCCCCCACCACTAGCTCATCCAGCACCGCCGCTGCCGCTGGTGGTGGTGTTACGAGTGACGAAGTTTCTGATCGCACAACCCCCTCCCTTTCCGACTCAGGTGAACTCACCCACGACGAGGAACAAGATATGGCCAACTGTTTGATTCTACTTGCTAAAGGCCAAAGACAAAGGATGCCATTGCCACCTCCACCACCGCCGCCGGCTGCGGCGGCGATGGATGTATACCAGTGCAAAACGTGCGACAAGAGTTTCTCTTCGTTCCAAGCGCTGGGCGGTCACCGGGCGAGCCACAAGAAACCCAGTAGTAAGCCAATTACAATTACAGCGGTGGATGAATATTATCAGAGATCAATTCAAATCTCCGATAATAATAATAATAATAATAATAACAGCAACATTTATCTTGGCAACCAAACGAGGCCTAAGAGTACTGCTACTACTAGGAGGGTTCACGAGTGCTCTTTGTGTGGGGCGGAGTTCGCCTCCGGCCAGGCCTTGGGCGGCCACATGCGGCGCCACAGACCAATTCCGGCGGCGTCAATTAGCGGCAGCGGGCATGGTGATCAGCATCCAGAAGTGAAGAGGCAGAGGAATATGTTGTTGTCCTTAGACCTTAATCTCCCAGCTGCACCGGAAGAAGAGCAACCGGCGGCGGCGGTGGCGGCGGAATCAAAGTTTCCTTTTGCACCCAAAGAACAAGTTATTGTCTTCTCCGCCACTCCTTTGGTTGATTGCCATTATTGATTTAGTTAGTTTTCTTTCTTTCTTTCTTTTTTTATTTTCTTTTTTTATTTTGTGATCATTAATTTATTATTTTAATTTTCAACTAGAAAATTAATTTGTGAAATTGGTAACATTATTATGCATTCATGTTGATAAAGCTCGTTCTATAGAGTTGATTCTTTATTTGTATCTCTCAAACCTTTTATTTTGAGATGAATGAGGATTGTAATTAATATATATATATATACATTCATTTGTTCATTTTCATTTAATTACTTATTATTTTTGTTTTGGAATATTATTATTTGTACATGCACGACAATTTGAAAGACGACTGATATAGTTGATATTATTATTTGTTTCTCTTTTCTTTTTTTCGTTCTTTTCTTTTCTTATTAAAATTTGGAGTTGCATGCAAAATCGTCCTTTCCCAATTGCTAACTGCCAATAAATTAAAATTTGGAGTTGCATGCAAAATCGTCCTTTCCCAATTGCTAACTGCCAATAAATTAAAATTTATTTTAGGAAAATGCTTAACATGTCTAAGGATTCCCAATAAACTCACAAAAGAAATGTTGGGGGTAAAATAACAATTTGCATAAATAATTGAATAAGAACTGTACTTGTAAGAAGAAATTAATTCTGATAATCTCTTACGTCTGATAAGAACTGTACTTGTAAGAAGAAATTTCGGTCCGCTACGTTAATATAAATATAAAATGATTGTATGTCTTACATAAAACTTAAATTTTTGGTTGAGTTGTTACTCAACAAATATAACTGATCATGACCGAAAGAAATAGTATTCAATACTTTGATAAATATTTATATTCAGAGTTTTTTTTTTTTTTAAATTCAATGTATAATTTGGATTTAATTTCTGACTATACTGTAGAATCACGTTGATTAGTTTGCTTTATATATTAGCAAGCACATGTTTTGAAGTTGACGTAAAATACATCCTAATTTATCTACGAAACTTGCAAGAATGCTAATTCTAAGCTCAAAAGAACTTTAATTGTCTAATTGAGAGCATCTTCAACCAGTTTCACCATTGTGGTGAAAAAATTGGTTCATTTCTCACTGGTAGCACACCATTTTACCTTTTCACCATTTTTTGTGGAAAAATGGTACTTTTGGTCTTCAATGGGTTTCACCAAAATGTAGACCAAATATTAAAATAATAATGTTTCACCATTTGACCATTTCATTCTTATAGAAAATGAGATTTGGTTTGGTCTCCCATGACATTTCACCATATATGCCCAAAATTATAAATCTAATGTTAATCGTAATTTTATTATATTTTATTTTATAAAATATTAATTATAGATCCAGTATTAAGTAATAATTTTTTTTAACTACATAATTTAAAAAATTATATTTTCAATTCAAATGTCTTGTCCTGTGTTTTATCAATTAAAGTGTGTTTCGTTAATCATTATATTGTTGATTGTTATATTTTATTAATAGCAATTAGCGTATTAATTAAGTAAATAAATGAACTAATCAACATTGATACCAAAACAAATATACAAATTAATTAAAAATAACAAATGTATTTATATTTTAAAAACTAATAAAGAAATTAACACCAATGTACTTACTAGGGGTGGTAAACGAGCCGAGCCGACTCGTGAGCTCGAGAGAAACTCGAACTCAAACTCGAGTTTTTGAGCTCGAGCTCGAGCTTTAGCCAGTTTTTAGTTGTTAGCGGCTCGTGAGCCTTATTTATTATTATTTTCTTTATTTTTTTTATATATTATTTTTTATTTAAATAATGTATAATAATATAAAATATTATAGAAACAAATAAAAATAAAATATACATAATAAAATATATATATAATTACAATTTTTTTGTTTATTTTGTAATTTTTTAAATATTTTTTAAACAAAAATATTAAAAAAAACTACAAAATGAGCTTAGGCTGGAGCTCGAGCTCGAGCTCGACAAAATGGCATGAGCTCGACAAAATGGCACGAGCTCGAGCTCAACAAAATAGACTCGAGCTCGAGCTCGAGCCTGCCAAAAGAGGCGAGCTTGGCTCGTGCATACCCCTAGTATTTACGATAAATATGCTAATAAGTTGGTAATCAGGTGCAATTAGTTAAAGTCGTCATTTTATATGCTATTTAACAAAATGGTGTTAATTACACCAAATCCTATTTTCGCCTCTATATTTGGTAGGAAAAAATAGGATTTGATGGAAAAAATAGGAAAATGGTGGGCCGGTGGGAGATGAAAATTCATTCACCAAAAAATTTGGTGGAAAAATAGGATTTGAGTATATGGTGATATAGAAGTTGACCACGGTGGGAGGCTAAAACCAAATCTCCATAATTTTAGGTGTAATAGTGATATAGGAATTTCGGGTGGGAGGCTAAAAACATCTAAATTAGATGAAAAAATGGCGATATAGCGACCGGTCAGAGATGCTCTGAGACGAACCAAACTCGACGAATTCTTCAGACGTATTTGTTAGATTTTATTAATTAATCAAATTATAATATAACTGAAATGATTTGTGCAGACACCTTTTAGAATTTGCAGGCATTTTTTTACCACTTTTTCCAAACCAAAAACCTAAATTCTCTCAAACTCTCTCAAGCTTTTGGAGGCACATTCTCATATTCTGACTGAGACGACAACAGATCGAATGTCATTTTTATATTTTACGATTGTTTTGTTACGTAAATTACAAATATGGGGAAAAAAAGGCCAAATCTAGAGCTCGCGTGGTTCTATACGAACTCAGTCCCATGCGAGCTCTCGAGTTTGTGTATTTTTTTTATTTTTTTTTAAACACTTGAAATTATAATCGTTTGTTTGTTAATCTTTTAGCTAAGCTTTCTATATAAATTCTCCTCTAAAATCTCTTTGAAACACATTTTGGTGTTCAACTCTTTATCTATGCTCTTATTTTAAAACTTTTTGAAAAGCATGGTTGCTTGCAAAGCTCTTTAACTAAAGTTTCTATCTAAGCTATCATGAAACTCTCTTCAAGTGCATAAATAATTGTTTGTTCAACTTTATAATTGAAAACTCTCTATAAGTTCTTGTTTTAAACGACTTGAAATACATGTTTGTTTGTTAGAGTTCCTAGTGACGCTCTCTATCTAATGTTTTCTCTAAAACATATATTAAAACACATATTTGTGATAAACTATTTATGAAATCTTTCATTTAAATTTGTTTTTATGCTCGGTTGTTATTGAACTCTCTATATAAGTTCTCTATTTCACTTATCATTTAAAATCTCTTGAAAGTCATGATTATTTGTTAAGATCTCTAACTAAGCTCTCCTTTAAAGTCTATTGAAATTCATGGTTTTTTGTTTAGCTTTCTAACTAAGGTATCTATCTCGTAAGCGTTTAAGAAATTCATGATCGCTTGATAAACTCCCTAACTACGTTGTCCCTTCAAATTATTCGAAATACATGTTCCTTTGCTAATTATATCTCTAACTAAACTCTCTAATTAAGCCCTCAATTTTCTAACCCAATTTTTAATTGATTCTTTCTAAAATGATCAATACAAAATTCATTTTTAGAGATGAAAATTTGGCAATGAAAGTGCGCCTAATGAAAAGATGATCGAGCAATTCTTTCTCCGAGCGACCGAGAAAACAGATGTTGTACTAACGGGGAAGAGAACATTGATTTTTTCTTTGGTGGAAAGAATATCACTAACAGTATAATTATCATGAGAAGTAATTTATATGGCGATTATAGATGTTAGTATTAAGAGGGACATAGAAAAGTCCCGTAATGGATGGCCTAATAGTTGGCCGGAGCAAGTGAGCATGTATTAATTGAGGTTGAATTCTCTTGTTAACCATCGCTAGATGGAACTTGTCACACATGGTCAGCTGAGTATGGTTTACATCTCTCGTATAATTTGTAAGTTATTATACAAAAGTGTATATCTATATATATATATATATATATATATATATATATATATATATATATATATATATATATATATATATATATATATATATATATATATATATATATAAGACTTTTAAAATCATTTGAGACACACATTTGATGTTATTATGTCAAAGTAGAGGTTTATCCAGTACACATATATAATTGAACGCAATTATTTTTATCCAAAATAAATAATTAATACTCCATTCGTTTCTAAATATGTGTCGTTTTTCACATTGACACAAATTTTAAGAATTTCAATAAATATGTTTTAATTTTAGAAAAATAGATATTAATTGACCAAAATACCCTTGTTTATTAATTAATGCAGGAAAAGTGCTATAGAGTTAATAAGGGTAAAATTGAAAAATAAGCAATTAATGCAGCATTGAAATTGTAAAGTGACAGATAATATGGAACAAAAAAATTCTCAAAAGAGACGGATATTATGAAAGAGAGAGAGTACTATTCTTTCGAGATATTATACGAGGGTTTAAGTAATAGCATATTTTTTCTCAATAAAACGCAAAAACGAAAAAAAGAAACGTAACAGCAAAATCTAAGAGTGTAATTGTTGGCTGCCGCTATTCACAAATGGCGGTGCGCGATGGTAGACAAGGCGAAGATGAGGATGGCGCCGCTCTATTCGAGGAAGAAGGCGTGGAATTCGCCGATGACGACGATCTCTCCGACATTCCTCTCCACCTCCGCCCCCTCCTCTCCGCCGCCGAGTCCGGCGACCTCGACGCCCTCCGCCTAGCCCTCGGTAACTTCTACTATTATACTCATATCTACAAACACGCAATTTTATTTTATTTTATGCTTTGTTTTTCCCCTGCCGATTTTTCCTCACGAAGACAGTGATTAATTAAGTGTAATTGTTGATGTTTAGAAGAAGAAAAATAAAAAAATCATAGATGCAATTATAGGAGGATCAAATGAATTTATTTTGTCCGGCACATTGGTTGAAAAAATTGTATTTTTCCCCTATTGCTTATGTTTATGCTGTATTACCTTGTGAACTCTGTTTCGAAAACTCTCGATAACATATTCAGTTCGGTCAGTTCAATCCGGTAATGTGAAAACGTCCCATTTTTCGTTTGCAGAGGTGTATGCTGCAAAATGAGATCACATGGCTGGGGTTTGTTAATTAAATTAAATTGAATTACGAGACTTTTTTTTTTTAACATACCAACGGAATTCTAAAGCCTTTGATTGCCAAATTAATATGCGTCTATACTTAGAAGTCTGTTCGTTGCTATGTTGATTTACTTCACCTTTTCTTGGCATTTAAGATGTTTGAGACTTGAATTATGACTTGCAGTTTCTTTTCCGTATTTTTTAATCAGTCAAGTACGCAGCTTACATGAAATTAGAATCTTAGGGTACGATGATTCATATCAAGCTTGCACTGTGACTGGAATATAGTTTGCAACTAATTTCCGATTATATAACAACAAAGTATTATAAGAACTGGAAAGGTGTATGTATATATACCGGTGTGTTATTTGAATTTGATTTTTAGGGAATAACATATTAACATGTAGCCTTGGAAAAGCATGGAAAATTAGAAAATGGCTCAAACAGATGCTCGATTAGTGATTTGAATTCATCAACTGTTTCTGAGGAGAGGAAATGGCACTTCTATCATTTTTTTCGGCTGTAACCGTATTAGAAATAACTGTAGTGATAGGATTCATGAAGTTATGCTTCCTTTGAGCTTAATAGCCATTTTTTCTGTTTTTTTCCGTGCAGTGTTTACTGACTTCAGTGCATTGAACTGTGGTCCTCCTTTCTTCGTTGCTTACTCTTCATTTTTCTGTGTTGATATTGGCACGAAAATGGTTAAGAGTTAGCAAATGATCTTCGATCAGGCCTTATATAGACGTCCAAATGCCTTGTCTTGATTGATTGAGATTGGTTTTTTATCTTGTCATTATATGCAAATGCAACAAGTACATTGAGATCATAGCCATATCTTGGAGCCGTTAGGCATATTAGCCTGCTATTTCAGTTATTATCACCAGAAGTTGGTAGTGTCCCTACTCCGTAATTTGCTGGATTTTTAAAAAAATATCCAACTGAATCAATTAAGGCTGAGATTTTATTGATGTTCCGGTTGTGCCACTTATAGCAAAGATAACTCATGGAACTCTTTCATATAGTAGAATCGAAACACATCTCTATAGTAGTCAAACTTTCTGATTTCAGGTGTGCTTTTGTTACCTTGGAGAAATATTACATACAAGCTAACTGTTCATGTTGTTATCTGCACTAATACTTGTTCTAAAACCTTGTGGAAAATTGCAGATAATTTCGATATTAACATCGACGAGCCAGTGCAAGATGGTGACACTGTTCTTCATCTCTCGTGTCTCTATGGCCATTTGGCTTGTGTCCAGGTCAGATCATCTACATCAACCGAATGAGCTACTACACCAGCCGTTTCCATTAGTCTGCAACCCTTAGTTTATTCGCTGATGTTAGTATGAATTTTTATAACGTGTAAAATGCAAAACGAAACGGTACATTGTGCAGCTTTTGTTGGAAATGGGAGCTAACTTGGAGGCGAAGGATGAAGATGGAGGAATCCCCTTGCATGACGCCTGTGCGGGAGGTGGATTATCTGATTGCCATCTGTCTTTTTGAACCCTTGTTCTGTAGCATCTTATTTTTGTTTTCTGTTATTGAAAAGTGAAAACTACGTTTCAGGTTACACTGAGATAGCACAACTTCTTATAAGTAGTGCTAATGATCAAGATCGTGTGAAGAGAATGTTAGAAACTGTTGATATGGAAGGGGACACGGTATGTGTATCTCCACTTGTTCTTATTTTAACGGGTTATGTAATTATTTAGCATTTGTTTTAAATTTTGACATAAGGGTTCTTAGACCAAAGTTTACTTGCGTAATTTGACAACTTTTTTGCTACGTGTTAGCCTCTTCACCATGCTGCTAGAGGGGAATATAGCAATGTCGTAACATTGTTGCTTGCTTATGGGGCTTCTCCGAATCAGGCAAATTCTTATGGAAAGGTAACTACATCATTAGGGATTTCATCGATTTCTTTTACTGAATTTTTTTTTTTGTTTTTTGATTTAATGAGTAATATTGGCAGACTCCAATTGAACTTGCTGAACCCGGAACTGAAGCTAGAAGGATACTGGAAGAGGCTTCGGGTGCTGCACTTAGTCATTAGTCGGGATCTTTCCAATTTCAGCTTTCTTACTTAGGTAGGGTAATATATCTTGTAAAAGAATATCCGTTAATTATTTGAAGCGTGGCAAAGTAAATTAATTTGTTTGGTACAATGTTGAGTTTTGGAGATAAATCGTATACTTGGACGCAAGAATTCGATCTGATGCGATTCTTGACTGGCTAGTACTAGTAACTTTAGTCTCAAAGCGTGCTTCTTTCATGTTCTCTTCTTTCTAAATACCTTTTTAAACATTGGTGGAGAACGAGAAAAAAAAAGCAATGGACTGAGAACTTTCTTAACGAGAAAACCTTTATATTTCTTCAATGATAATAAATATTTTAGTGTTGAAACATTCTAGCTAAGTTTTCAACTTATGAGCGATTAATATAAAGTTCAAGTGTAAGTATAGCCTAATTTTACTTAATAGAGCTTATTACAAATAAGTCCAACAACAAAAAACTATTTTACAAAAAAATTCAGACAATGTCCACAAATGTGTAAAAGATTAAAATACCCCTTATATTTCAATATCCTCCAATTTCATCATTTAATTCAACTGGACTTTAATTTGAACTCAAATTTTATCGATTATTCAATTTTAACCCCTAACTTAATTTTGACTCCAATTTTAACCGTCGCCGTCAGTTACCTGCCGGTCTCCGGCTTATATATTATTTTGTATCTTTTGTCTGCATTTTTCGAACATATATTATTGTTTAACACAACAATAATATTGTTATATTACTCTCTGGAACTCATTTTGAATCCTTCGATCCAAAAAGCAGACATGAGAGAGAATTGAAATTGATATCCCACTTGTCGAGCGCCGATTGTCTCTGAAAATATTGAACTAGAACTATCGATATCTTCAAGATTGTTTCTCCATTTTCTATTATTTTTGTTGGACCAAATCTTCAAGAATTATAAGAAGTTGAAGAAACGATGAGATAGGAAAAGAATTAATACAACATATGTTTCTACTATTATTTTCAGTTCTTAATTGATATTATTCTTTGTTCCCATCATTTGCAGTATTTTTAAGTTTTCGAAGGAATGGAGAACAAAGACTACGCATTTTATAGTGTGAGAGTAGATCGGTTTCGGTTTCGGTTCAAGATCGGTAAGAGAGAAAAGAAAAAAAAAAAGATTGTACGATTAAAACCATGGTGGTGGATTAAGATTTTTTTCGTCTTTTCTTTCTTTTTGGAGAAAATAGCAACACATTATTAGGGAATGCAATAAGCATAAATAATACATAATAAAAACCAAATAATGGATCAGATAAAATCACCCTGTTACAATAGAATTAGGTCTTGATTCTCAACAGAAATAATGGAGATCAGAATACCAAACAGCCCAACAACTTTACAATATTAGAGCATCATCAGTAGAGAGAAACATCACATTTACCTGGTGCCTCTCAAGCACAACATCAGGTATGGAAACAAAGAAACGAAACTATCATTTACAGATTTCGAACATGAAATGTTACGGAGAGAGATTCACCGTATATATTAAGACAGCATGTGATGTGTCTTTCTACGAACAACAACCACCACTCGGAGGTGCCTGATTTTCTTGCTTCTGTCTTAAGATATTTCTCTTGCTCACCGTTGATCCTTCTTCCAGTAGCCTCGGCACCTCCATTATCTGAGCGTAATCGAGTTTTCATTTAATAAATCGAATGACAAGGTTTTCAATACTACTAAAATGTCTATTTTGTTTTCTATAAAGAATAAAATCGGTAATGATGTATTTTGTCTTACCTTGAGCGACAGCTCTTCAAAGCATTTCTCCACATTTTCTCGAGTTTTAGCACTACATTCGAAAAATAGACATCCAAGTTCTTTTGCCAGGCTCATCCCCTCTTCTCTACTCACAACTCGTTCATTTTCCTGATAAAAAAAATATATCGATAATAAATAAAAAGAGACGGTGCCAATACTTGGAGAAAATTATCAAAATGCATTTTAAAAATCACGAAAATTATGCCAAATAAGAATTGTTGAAATTTTTTTTCTGGTTTGTAATTATATTTTTTATTATTTTAATTCAAAAAATACAATAAAATAGATAATAGATAGAGAAAAATATCAAAATATATTTTAAAAATCACGAAAACTATGCCAAATAGTTCCTGCTGTAATTACAAGAATTGTTGAAATTTCTGAACATGACTAAACAATGTTACAGATCTTAACAGGAGTAGTAATCATATGAAGAATCATATGATATAAACGATTAAAAATTTAAAATTATATTTGCAAGGATAAAAAAAGGAATGGGAAATTTGAAATGTGAAGTGAGAAAGCGAGGGAGAAAGGGACTAACTCTGTCAACTTTGTTTCCAACGAGCATCTTGATGCAATCCTCGTGAGTTGAGTACAAATCCAGTTCTTTTGCCCATACGTCGGATAAGTTTGTAAATGTATCTCTCCTTGTTACATCATAAACTACAAGCCGTCCAAAAAATTAACCAATTGAAAACAAGAGCCATCGAAAAAATATTTATCGTGACTGAATGTCCATAAGAAAACAAAATTTCATTCATGGAGGAACGTAACAAAATTTATCCATCTCTTTTCATTTCATTTGATTTGTAGCTGAAATTAGTTTACCGTTTGCTTGTTCTTGATCCAATTTATGCATATTCCGTATAAAGTTTATAAGCAATGCCAACTCGAAAATGGGTTATTCAAACGATTAACTACATATTCTAATGGTTGAAATTGTTTCTACTTTTTTATTCTTTAATGGCTTACCAAGAATTATTCCATGTGCACCTCTGTAATACGAGCTTGTTAATGTCCTGAACCTCTCTTGTCCAGCTGAAAAAATAATCCAACAAAACCGATTAGGTTTCAAGACGATTTGTCAAAGCCAAGACCATTCAAAAGTTCTTAATTACCTGTATCCCAGATTGTAAGCTTCAATTTTTTCCCACCAGCTGTGAGAAACTTCACCTTAAAATCCACACCTGGAAATTGAACAATAATACGGATACATAATCAAATAGAATTTATTCATTTCAAATTAATGTTTTCACAGTTCTTAATTTTAAAAAAATCAAAAGCTAACATAACTGAGACGGTAATAAGTTAGTTTAAGAATTCGGGAAAATCATTAATTGAAACTATTAAGAATTCGGGAAAATCATTAATTTCACAAGCAACATTTTCCTTTAATTATGATTAATTTAAGGTCACTGAACTTGATTGAATCAGAAGTTGTGATTACTCCTAATTAAGATACAATAACAAACTACAATCGGGATAAACCACTATGCATACAGAAAACCGCCCCATACGGCTTTCATGGACATCTTTAATATTTTTTATCTAGATCCATCGTACCATAGGTCCATATCGGTGCTATTTGATCCACATGTTCGATATATTTACCTATTTAAATCCACAACAAAATGTCAACAACAATTAGGACAATTTGCACTCATCGAAAATAGCTCCCAAACACCTAACTATCCACAATGAGTAAAGCAACAGATAGCCAAAACCCTTGCTTGTACTCAAATTGGAAGGGGAGAGAAATCAACTCTACTTATTTACCAAAAAACCTACAAAAATTCAATTTGTTCAAACAGCAAAAACACAAAGGAAGAATCAAATCTAGGATCAAATTCAATAACATAATCGGAAATAAATAAATAAATAAATAAAAAAAAAAAAAAAAAATTAACGATCACCACCACCACCACCACCAACACCAACACATTTCAGTGAATCTACAAACTAACAAAACGGAAGTTGGAGATCACGAATTTGACATTTCGATCAAGCTTAAAAAGAATCAAACATTAAATAAATAAATAAATAAATAAAAATCAGAATCGAGAGATTGTAGAGAGAGAAAGTGCAATTGAGAAGTACCTATGGTAGGGGAAAGATCGTCAACTAAATTAGAAATGAAGCTAACGAGCAAGCTGCTTTTGCCGACAGCTGAATCTCCGATTAGCAGGATCTTAAACGACAGATCGTAGTTGCTCTGCCCCTGCCCCGAACTCCCCATTCCAACTATCTCACTTTCTCTCTCTAGAAAAAAAAAATATGAAAATACTCTCTCTCTCTCTCTCTCTCTATGTATGTATATATATATATATATATTTCAGATGCTCAACAACTATAACAGTGACAATGTGTAATCAATAGGAGAGAGAGAGAGAGAGGGAACTGAAAAGGCAAGGAGATGAGAAGCTTTATGCCATCACTAACTTGGCTTTCTCTTTCTATATAAAATATGAATAGATACAGCCTGCTTGTATGTATAGAGAGAGAAAGTGGTGGAGGGGAGGAGAACGGTTAGCTGTGAGAGAGAGAGAGAGAGAGAGAGAGAGAGAGGGAGGCAATGTTTATTCTTTACTTTATCCCTTTCTTTTCTCTCTCAGATGCGATTCCGTTTTTGCAGCGCAAGGCAAATGCAAACGTGGGTTTTGCTTCTTTGACGGTGACCGTGACTATGGTCTGATGGCATATTTGTAATATAAGAGAAAATGGGGGTTTATTGTAGATTGTGAGAAGATTTGGGCTCCATGGGGGTTTTACTTTTGGTGGGCCTTTGTTTTGGGTTAGGGGTCCATGTTGTCTTTACTGGGTCAGTTCTAATATATATATATATATATATATATATATATATATATATATATATATATATATATTTTTTTTAAGTAAATCATTGCTGACATTCGGTCAGAACCACTGTGTAATCATGTTCAAAATTATAAAAAAAGCAAAAATGTTTTATTTTATTTAGGATTAAGGTTTTATAGACATAATATTCAGGGGCACTAATCATAGTTATTCACATAAAAGTAGTAGTTGGCAATGTCATGATTGCAAATTGGACACTTCTGCATTTGGCTTCAAATATATACTGGGGCTAGTTACCAACCTGCGTGAGATAAGGTTAAATTACGAAGAAACTTCTCGTGTTTTGGTAATATATTGGGTTACTACCTTTGAATCAAATTATGTACGATTTAGGTAACAAATCATTGTTTAAATATTAGATTTTTAGAGATTTTGAGTTCCAAAAAAAAAAACTAAGGGTTTAGTGCACTAGAACACGAAGATTGTGCAGGGATTTAGTGCTCTAAAGTGCGAGGTTTGTGCTGGGGTCTAGTAATATACATCACGAAATATATTTTCGTATCGTAGAGCGGCGCGAAACTTTTTTTTTTCTTTTATATATAGTTTCGTGTTGTAGAACACGAAACATGCAAACAAGTTTTCTGCTCAACAGCACGAAACAACCAAAGTGTGCGAAGAATAATACAAATAACGATTTTTTCCTCAAAATCGGCCATTCAGATGATTTTTGTTGTTCTTTGAATATTATCGAAGCGTGTTTCACAATTTACAAAATTTCAAAATTTCAAAATTCCAAAGTCAATAGAATTTGAAATTTTTTGAAGGATTTAAAATAATTACTAAAATCCTGTTACATCCTAGTACTATTCCTGTTGTGGATAGCATGTCCCTTGCAATAACACCTCATATATGTCTGATTATATAAAATTAAAATAAAATAAATCTTCTTATTTATAGAATTAATAAGTACATTCAGCAATTCATATTGAAATGACCAAGTACATTGAAGTTGATTGTCATTTTATCCATGAAGTTGTCGTAAACCAACAAATCACCACTCCATTTATACCGTCTTCTTCTACAAATTGCTGATACTTTCAGTTTTGGAACAAGTTTTTTCATTCCAGATTCTAAAATTTCAGTTTTCAAGTTTTCCATTTTTTTCTGGAAAATAATTGAAATTAGTTTTTCGCCGAAAAAAGATCAAGGGGTCATTACAAATAAGTGCATTAATGGGTATTTATTCATAAAAAGATCTAGACAAAAAACTCATTTACTAATAAATCCACACATACTCCAAATTTTTGTAAATTACTAAAATAGACCCCCATACTTTAATATGCTCCAATTTCATCATTAACTTATTTTGACCTCAAATTTCATAAATTATTCAGTTTTGACCCAATTTTTTTTTTTTCAAAAAACACGTTTTTTGCCGCCGGATTCCGGCGTTGACTTTTTCAAAAAAAAAATTCCTTCTTTCTGTAACATTTTTTTTCGTTTAAACAGCAATATTGCTGTGATTGACAGTAATATTAACTATATTACTGTTAAACACAGTAAAATTAACTAAACTATAGTTTAACACAGTAATATTGCTATATTAATCTCTAGCACAGTAATATTAACACAACAAAGTCATTATTATTGTGTGATAGAGTAATATTACTATGTTGACCGTTTAACAAATGTAAACATAATAAAAAGCCAAAAGAATTAATATTACTGTGAGTGACAGTAATATTACCGTCAACCACAGTAATATTACAATAATAGACAGTAATATTATTACGTTATTCCGTGAATAACTCAAACAAACAAAAAATCCAAACAAAATAATAATATTGATGTGGTTGACAACAATATTACTATAACAACAGTAATATTACCGTCAACCACAGTAATATTATTGTGTTTATAGTAATATTACAATAATAGACAGTAATATTATTACGTTACTCCGTGAATAACTCAAACAAAACAAAAAACCCAAAAAAATAATAATATTGATGTTGTTGACAGTAATATTATTGTGTTAACAGTTATTTTACTGAGTTGACAGTAATATAATTACGTTGACTTGTCAACAAATTAAACAAAATAAAAAAAATAACAAAAAATAAAAAAATAATAATATTACGTTAATTTACTGTCAACGGCACAAAAATTACATAAATGTATTGTCAACGGCAGTACAATTACGTTAATTAACTGTCATTGACAGTATAATTACGTTAATTTACTGTCACTGACAGCACAATTACGGTCAACGTTTAGCGGCGGACGTAAAAAAAAAAAAAAAAGTCAACGCTGGAAACTGGCGAAAAAATCCGGAAGAAAAAAAAAATCGAAAAGTCAACGCCGGAATCTGGCGGCAAAAAAAAATTTTGAATTTTTTTTTTTAAAAAAAAAAGTCAAAATTTAATTTTTGTGGACAAAACTGATTAAATTAGGGTTACAATTAAGAATCGGGTATAAATGGTTGTGGGTAATATTGGCATATACATGAATGTTTCCTTTATTTATAATAAGTATTAAAGGAATGGATTGGTGAAAGAGATATAGTCCCTAAACCTGGAATAATAAAGATGCTTGGTTGGGAACTTATGCACAAAAACCCCATTTCAATAAGCAACTTGATACGAACCACGCCAACCATGTGACGAGACCCGATACCAATACTTCGGATATCAAATCCTGGACCGTCCAAAGAAGGAATCAAAGGTGGAACCGCGACCCGTTGCCTATAAAGAGGCAAGAACCTTGGTATGTGAAGATGCCACAATCGATTGCGAAAGATCGATTGATAAGTTGGGGTGAACAAACGGAATCCACCGAAATGTTCGAACAGTTCTTAAAGAACCAAAGAGAATAAACTCCATTAAATCATTAAAATTCGTCTGATAAAATAAGTCAAATTGGCAACCTATTTATAAGGTCTAAAAAGACTCCTTTTTCACAAGGAAAATGACTCTTACATAAACTATAATAAGGAAATAAATAAATAAGCAAATCCTAACCATAAAAGACTCTAAAATAATAAAAACATAATTAAACCTAAATTAAAAACGTGAATAAGTAAATTAAATAACTTGATCTTCAAGTCGGCTTCTCGATCACCCTTCTAATCTCGCGACATTGGGCTGTGCACGTGCATGCAATTAAAGCTCAATTTCGACACTGTTCCACTTCGAATATCTCTTTGCTCTAAACATGAAAGTTGTAGACCTTTCAGTGAGTTTTTCGAATCATTTTGAATCAGCTCAAATGGATTTCAGATGCGAGAGTTATAACTCGAACGGTAAACTGTGCCAGAATAGGCGAGAATCTCGGATGCATGGAATTCGACTTGTCCAACGAATTCTTCTCTTTCTTTTCTTCCAATTCCAAACCATAGACATCTCAAACATTTGATTCCAGCCTTTCTTCTCCAAGGAAAACTCGAATGTTTTCTTAAAACTCGTACGCTTGCGCTTCTTCCAATTCTTCATCTTTGAGCTTGCTAGGATCGTATCACAACTCACACTAGCACCGGCGGTGCAAATGCGATGGAAAATCAACATTATACAGCTATTTATAAATTGATGTGCTTGCAAAACAAACTTTAATTTACAATAACTTACTTTTTAAATTATCAAAAGTGTACTTGTAAATTGGATTTAGAGAAAAATAATAAGAGATCATGTAATACCGTTTTACGTTAAAAAGAAAAGGTCGATGCAAATATTTTTCAAATTATAGCTTGAAACAATTTCGCTTAAGAGAATTCAAAAGTAGAAGTTGCATTCGCAAAAACTCCAAAATTGGTTATAAACTCGAAAAAGTTCATTATCGTGTTTCAAAAGCTTTTGCAAACACTACCATTGTAGTGCTGCACACAACAAAATGCTATAGAGGTGATTTGATCATCTTAACCTAAACAATTATTTTTCTTCCCTATCTACTTGCTTTTAAAAAAAAAATATCTAGTTGTTCTTCATGGTGTTATTTTTCAACATATCAATAAATCAAATATATCTAAGTTTTTGCTTAAATTAAGCTCCAATAAAAGTTTGGGTAATTATCAAAATTAGGGGTCTAAACGTAACTAATTCTAGCTTAGAAGGGGAGGTGTGTGATTTATACTTCAAAACATTAGGAAGAGAAAAGTACATTTTTTAGTGTATTTGAATGGAATATTTGACTGACCTAAACAAATTGTTCAAATTTTGAAATCCAAGGTAAAATAAGATAAAAAATCTCATATGAAGTAGGTGTAAAATGAAATAAATTGTGGTGCATGCATCCCTTTCTTTAGAATGCAATGCCAATGCGCCTATAAGAGAGTGACAAGTGGCAGTTGCCACCATCACCATCAGACAACCCCAACTCCTGTGTGCCTAATGCCTAGACAGCATGTCTAAAATGAAACTCATTTCTGAAATCCGAACGCGAACGAGTATAATGTCTATAACTTGATCCAAGTTCACCAAAACGAAATGTTAGATATGATCTAATTCAACAAAAGAGAGGACGAACTAATTGTGCGCACTAATACAGCTCTTTATTAATTAGCTTTGTAACTAAACAGCAGTTGCGCGTTTTGCATTCGGAACCAATCAGTTGCTCGTTTAAGAAGCTGAAGTCTCGTCGTCCTCCTCGTCAACTTTAGGGTCCTCTTCCGACCCAACAACGGTTTCTTGTTTGACCTGTGCAAAAATGCGTCCGGTCATGGGATGGACAGGTGTCATGTCTCGTGGGCCCCCCTTTCGCCCCATTGCAAGCATCGGTGGTGGGGGTAACATCCCTGCTCGGAACAGAAGCCGCTGAACTGGATCCGACGGCTGTGCACCCACTGAAAGCCAATACCTGTAAGGCCATTCCCCCCATCAGGACATTTACACACAAAAAAATAAATAATAATAATAATAAATAAATAAACCCTTAAAAATTGGTCATATTTTGGCAGTGCCTTGTTGGCCTCAAGAGTAGGTTTTTTACATGATCTATAGATTGCCACTCAGTATGCAATAAAACCCTTTTAAAGATATGAATTAGCTTACTAGTGCTAGCTGATGTTAGCTTACTACCACAGCTCCGCAATTATTAATCACATCAATGAAGAGCAGATTTGGGAAGCGGCTCTATGATTAGCAGACCGTCTTTCAAACTATGCTCAATGCACAATTTACCCAAAATTGAATATTGCAGTTCAGTCCGCAACGGAAAGTTCAAAAGTAAGTAGCAGAGATGCAATCCACAAGGTTGAGGGAAAAAGTTCGTAAGGTACGATTCTTATTATGTAAGATACCGGTTCCTCATCATAAATACAAAAGAACAGATAAATTGAAAAGCTCAAGATAACCTATCTCAAGAAGCTTAGAAGTATCAACAACAGAATAACGGAACTAAACACAGTACGTCGCGCGTACCTTAAGTGTAAAAAATAGCTTTTCAAGAATCAAGGAACCGAAAATTAGAACAACAGAAGAAACCACTTACTTCACTCTGTCGAAATTGATGCCCATTCTTTTACCTCCATCTTGACCTGCACCATTTCACATATTAAAATTAATAAGCATTCAAATTCTTAAAAAAAAAAAAAAAAAAGTCCATGTATATGGGGTATATACACATAATAATTTTCTGTTGTGAGTTTCCATCACAACAGGAAAGAGACATTCCTAAAGGAATGCATCGTTAATTATGGGTTATCTCTTTGCTGCAGGTTAGCACATTACATTCCAGATTCTAGTTAGTGGTGTTGTATTTCCTTGATGATTTTCAGCTAGATTAATTTTAACCGTTGGATTGAGCAAATTCTGATCAATTTTGTGCACAAATTGACAAAAGTCCTAGGGCATTTTCTTGATTTTTGGAAGTAATCTAAACTAGTCCCGATTCGAGATTATTCGATTCCTGTGAAACAATGGTTCTATGTTGTTAATAGTATATCTATCTCTATCAAAATCTGATCAATACACAAACTCATGTTCTGTTTTATATTCTAAGTATGTAACTGACACTCATTGAGAAGCTATTGCATTTCTGCCATTGATTGGCTGCTGGAATTTCTTTCTCTAAAGTTAGTATATGATAAAAGCTTGTTACTTATATTCAGTTTTAACTGTTGTCTTGTTAAGGCTAAACTTTTTGGTACTAATTTTTACATTCTATATATTAATTCGTTTTGTGTGTATATTCATGATGGATTATAGCATGCACATTTCACTCACCTCGGAATCTAGACAAAATCTCAGGAAACTCATGTTGTAGGAATCAAGAGTTTTGTAATTAGATACGGGTCCTAAAATCTGGTGTAACCCGTAAATCATGGTCAGTATAAATCACAGAGTCCTCAAATCACAGTCCAAACTTCATATTTTATGCATTCATGTTAGCTGCTAGCATTATTGCTAATGAAATTTTAATCTATTATTCTAAAAATCACCTAGTTGCCCAATTTTCTGACCTAGTTATAGGGGTGTAAATTGGACGGATCGGATCGGATCGGAATAAGCCCAATCGGATAAAAAACTTCGATTTTTTTCAAAAGTGAAAAACTAGTTCCAATCCCGTTCCAACGGAATCGGAATTTCGGTGGAATGAAAAAAATTGTTCAAAATCGGAAAATTTTGGATTGGAATCAGCGGAATTCTGAATTTCTATTTTTTTAATATTGGTATTTTAAGTGTATAATATTCGGATTTTTTTTTGGAATTTTCGGATTATTTTAGGAACTTAAAATCGAATCGAAAATCGGAATCTCATATATATTCCAATTCCAATTCAAATAATTTCGGAAAAATCGGAACTCGGAATTTCGGAATTCAGATTGAAAAATATTGTTCCAAAATCAGAAAATTTCGTGTCGGAATCGGCGCAGTTGATTTTTTCCACATCTAAGCACACAGATTTGAATTCTTTTAAAACGTGGCATTTACACGAATACTTCCGATCTGCAAGACTCCTTTGCTACTACAACTTTAATGTTAGACATTGCCAAACAGCACCTTAATGAAATTACTCCAAGGCATCAAGTTTCCACTTTTCATCTCCACTTGAAACTTTAAACAACCAAAATAAGAATGATTTGCTATGAGAAGCCTAGTCTACGTGTCTAAATTATTTCAGTTGATTAAGAGAAATAGAATCATCTGCCATTGTTATATGGATGGATTCGGAGCTTCAATTAGATGATAATACAAGCTCAAGCTTTGAAATATCCATGTATGTATGTATAGTTCAACAATTATCTGGAAAAAATAAATATTGGAAATAAAAAATTACCGGGGAGGGGATTGTAGTAGCCGAGGACTTCCAAATGCTTGCCGTCTCTAGGGGATCTGCTATCCGCCGCCATCACTCTGTAGAACGGCTTGTTCCGGCATCCCAATCTCGACAGCCTCAAACGAACCACCATTTTCTCTCTCTTACGTCTCTCTCTCTCTCTCTCTCTCTCTCTCTCTCTCTCTCTCTCTCTCTCTCCGCCTACTGTGTGTGTGGGGATATGGAGTCCCGGTCTGGTGTATCGACTGTGAACGCCGCCCTGTGAACCGGTGGTGGATGAGGGTTTTGCAATTTGGGGGTGGGGTGGGGTGGGGTTTATTCTTTCTGGAAATAATTAAAGGGTCATATTTGTAATTACACAAATGACTGTAAATCTACTATATCTTTTCATCCAAAAATTCTCCTAAAAATGGATATGCATAGATTAAACTTTGGTAACCACACAATGGAACATAAATAAATAGATAAAATATAAAATTAAGAGCAATACAAATCTAATCTTATAGTATATAATGTGGAATAAAGAAAAATATGAGAGTCGAAACGATTTACAAAGTCTATATAATTTTACAGCATCGATATATAAATGAAATCCTGTGATCTAGGAAAAAAAAAACTAATGATTTTTTTTATTTATTTTTATTGATTTAGACAAGGGGTGCAAATTGGAACGGATTTTCCAATTTTCGCCGGTTCCGATTTTGGAACAACTCTTTTCAGTCCGACTTCCGAAATTTTTCGATTTTTTTGGATTGGATTGGATTGGAATTGGAATTATATAAAATAAATTTGGAATTTCCGATTTCCGATCCGATTTAATTCCGAAAAATTCCGATTTTTTGCCGAAAAATACACCTATAAATAGTATATATTATATAATGCTTATTTTCCAAAAAATACTCCTATCAGTTTTGTTTTAGCATTTTGACATAATGAATTGTTGTGAGAAGTTTTATTGGATAATATGCTGTGTTTATTTTTATTTATTTTTTTGAGCTGAAATTTAGTAGTTATTAGTTTTACTTTTATCGACGTGCATGCTCTTATTTTCGAAAAATTATGAACATTTTAGAAAATTTCGGTTAAGTTTTGAAATTTTAAAGCTTATGTGATTTCTGATTTTTTTTCCGAAATTCCGAAATTTCCGGGCCTTTTGGAATTAGAAATTCCGAAAATTTTGGAATTGGAATTGGAATTGATTTTGTACTTCCGATTCTTTTTGGAAATTTTCCGAAAAGGCTAATTCTGATCCGATCCATCCGACTTTCACCCCTAATTTAGACCGTTCCTACACTTAAATTCACATGGTGAGAATTTCTACGGTCACAATTGCCAAAATCTTGATCCCCAAAATATTAGTGGAAAGTGGAAACGGTATCGAAAATGTAACATACATTGTCGGTACCGAAAATTTACGTATACTTCGGTACAAAAGATGTTTCAATTTTTCTACCTGCAGAGAATCATGTAGTGTTGTGAATTTACAAACACTCAGATTGTGTAATTGGTTTCTCTCACCGGCACAGTTCATAAAAAGTATGATAAATTTTATTTTGGATCCATGTAATATGCAAAATGTATCATTTACCCCATGAAGTATATAAAACATTAAACGCTCCTGAGCGTGAAATAACTATTTTACCCTGCTTTATGTATGATATAATCCCTAATTTTTTTAAGTTTAATTTTGTGGATTTTTGACGGTTTTTAACGTTCATTTATGGTTTTTTGTCGATTTTAGTGTTTGATTTTAGGGGTTTTCAATTTTATTTTTTGGGGGCTTTTGCAATTATAATATAAAAGATTTGTTTTTAATTTGCAATTCTTTCATGAGGTTTTATTTCAATTTTAAGGTTTCTTTTAGATTTTAACGATTTTCAATTTTTTTTTTTTTGGCTTTTGCATTTATGATATGCAAAGCTTCATTCTTATTGATCCGACTTTTTAATTTTTTTATGCATAAACAAAAGAGAAAAAAGCTGAAAAGCTAAAAAAATGGCTGAATAAAGTGAAAAAAAGAGGGTTGAAAATAGCGAAAAATCTACTGAAAAATGGCCAAAAGTAAGCAACTTATTTATACATAGAGTAAAAAAAAAGTCAACAACTCTTAAGAACAGCCGGTCAAAAGGTTTCACTAACGGAATTAGGAAAAAAAAAACTAACGGTAGGGGGTGTTTGATGTTTCCATACATTATGGGGGTAAATGGTACATTTCGCATAATACAGGGGTGCAAAATGAATTTTACCTTAAAAAGTAACCCAGACCCGTTTACTGAACCCGAACGCATAAACCCCTCAAAAATTGCCCATCCCTCCTCAAAAACACTCACCATCTTCCCCGCAGATTTGAAACTTGTCGAGCACCACCACAAACAATGGACAGAGAGTGGGGTTCGAAGCCTGGAGGCGGAGGCGCCGCCTCCGCCCAGAACGAGGCCATCGACCGCCGCGAGCGTCTCCGCCGACTCGCCCTAGAAACCATCGATTTAGCTAAAGATCCCTATTTCATGCGAAACCACCTCGGAAGGTATAATAACATAGCCCTAGAATTCTATACTCTCCCTACATTCTCGTTGCTTGATTCAAATTTCAATTTCAATTTCAATTTCATTTTTTTTTTCGATTTTGTTTTGAAATAAATAAAATAAATGAATTTTGCAGCTACGAGTGTAAACTATGTTTAACACTGCATAACAACGAGGGGAATTACTTAGCGCATACTCAGGGAAAGCGCCACCAGACCAACTTGGCTAAGCGAGCCGCTCGTGAAGCCAAAGAAGCTCCCGCTCAGCCGCAGCCTCATAAGCGCAAAGTTTCCCTCAAGAAAAACGGTTACTTCCTAACCCTATTTTCCTTTTCTTTTCTTTTTTTTTGCAATTTACTTAATTCATGAATTACAACACAATTTATGTCCTTCACTTGTAGAATGGTGTTTTTAAGTTTCCGTGGTTCTTGAAAATCCATGTTCCGTAGATATTCCTTTTGTTTAGCTGCGTAGATATTGTCGATTTGGTGTGTCTGTTAATGCAATGCATTTCATTTCTTCGATGTTTGGGGAAAAAAGGTTGGGATGGTTTATTAGTTTGAATTCCTATTGCGAACACTATCCGACCGTGTATATAATTATTTAGCTTTTATGGTTTTACCTCTGTATCGTCTAATTGTTGAACATTTTTCTTCTCGTGGCAGTTAAAATCGGTAGACCTGGATATCGTGTTACTAAGCAATTCGACCCCGAGACCAAACAGAGGTCGCTGCTTTTCCAGGTATGCATTCGTCGCTTCTCGTATGTTATATTTTGAACAAGTTGTATCCAATCTATTTATAAACTCTTACCTATTGCAATTTGCACAGTAAGTAGCTCTTATTCATTTTTGTTGTTGTTGATTTATAAAGAACTGAGCCTGGTGTATTGCATGATAATCGATACATGATCAAGTAAGTATGAGATAATTTTGATACATGGAACACAGATGCTAGTACTGCGTGTTTCTGTGATTTTGATGTGTAATTATTCATGCCAACTATCACGAGTATATAGCTATTTCATGCATTGCCTATTTTATTTTTATTTGTTTTGGAATAAGTTATATTGTTGTGATGTTTCTATCTGGTCAATGAAGAAAGAACTTAGCTTTAGGAACTTTTCCAGCCAAAATTTGTTTATATTTTTTTTTTGGGATTTTATTAACTTGCTGAAGAAACTTAATTGATATTTATTGTATTGGCCGGGGTAAATAATATTATTTGGTACTTTTGCAGATAGAATACCCCGAGATTGAAGATAATACAAAACCAAGGCATCGGTTTATGTCATCCTTTGAGCAGGTACGTACCTTCTATCATTACATAGGGCCAGAGACTATGTATAAAATATTGCGAGTTTATGCTGATCCTGTCTACACATTGTTTAACAATCCTCTTTTAATTTGCTTGTGCTTGCAGAAACTTCAACCGTTTGATAAAAGATATCAGTTTCTTCTGTTTGCTGCTGAACCATATGAAATTATATCTTTTAAGGTAATAAATACTTAAGTGCCAATTTATGCAAGTCGATTATTCATGGTTAATCATTACTGTCTATAACGATATTTGTTTTTTAGGTTCCAAGTACAGAGATCGATAAATCAACTCCCAAGTTCTTCTCCCACTGGGATCCCGACTCAAAGATGTTCACGGTATGCCTGAATCTTGTCTCTTGTTATTTTGTACGCTCTATTTGCTTTAAACATCAACATTCAACTTCTTCTGAATCCCTATGTTTAGGCCTCGTTTGGTTGCCAAGATAAGATTAAATAATCTAATGAAACCCAATTATATTATTTGACCTTGGAAGATCCAATAGAAAAACATGCCTAGACGGCAAGATAAGCCATGATAATATAATATTTGCGGGTCGACCCCGCAAGTTATTAAGGATACCAAACATCAAATAAAGTCCAATTATTTAGTTAATTATGGCTAATCTTCCCAACCAAACGAGGCCTTAGCATATAACTTAGTCTGGATTTGAATGCTTAAGGCTACCCATGTCACCTCTTCTATGGAGTTATTTACAAGTCATTACGATCCACCCTTTTAGGTGTAAGAATGAAGGTCCCTGCATTAGTTATGTCTACATATTTACCAATATCGGAATTCGGATCATGTTTATATACATATATTTGGGGCTATTTGCCCTTTTGCTTGTTTGTTGTGGGTAATCCGATAATTCTTGCAAAATAACGATTTGCAGAACCTTAATTGCAATAAGTGAAGTCTGCTCCATTCTTTATGACTTCTCATTCACTTCTATTACTAGAAAAAATATTAAAATTTTGTTGATTTGATTTTTTATTTTTATTTAATGACATCGTGACATTGTTATTTGAATGTGCAGTTGCAGTTGTACTTCAAGATAAAGCCACCAGAGGCTAAACCCCCACCTCCTCCTCCTACCGCTAACGGGACAGCAGGCGCACCGCCAGCTAGGCCTTTGCCTCCACCACCCCAAGGTCCGCCGCCACCTCCACCACAAGGACCCCCTCCTTCGTCTGTGATGGGCAATGGACCAAGGCCTATGCCGCCAGGTGGGAATATGCCTGCTCAACCACCACCACCAGTCGGCGGTGGTCCTATGGCAAATTTTACACCTGGTGGCCAGATGGGAAGGCCGCCGCCTCCTATGATGCCTCCTCAAGGGTTTCAAATGCAGGGCCAGGGGCCATACCCCCCACCGCCTCCTCCCCCGAACATGGGTTGACTCTGTCTCCTGCATTCTCTATTACAACCACAAGCAGATAACCGTCGGGTCATTATATAGCGTGTACGCCATTTCAACTCGATGCGAACTGAAAGCTATGGAAAACCTTCATTAATGAATGTGATACTAAGATGGGTAGAGATTTTGTTGAATATGGTAGCAGTTAATGGTAGTTTTATTATGATTTTCTGGGTTGTAGTTCGGAGTTCCGTTTGTGCAAAGCCACTCTACTTCTGAAGGCAAAATTACCTTTGAACTTGATTGTATTTAAGATTCTTGGCTATGAGCAATTGTTGAAGTTTATCGGATATTGTTTTTTTGTTCGCCTCAAAATTTGAAAAAGTTCCTAGTCCGTCATTTGAAGAATTCATTTGACTTTACGGTTGAATAACTGTGTCGAATCTCAATGTTTAATACAAAACATGTAATACATGATGAATGGGCAATATAAAATAATGTTTGTACCACAATAGAACAAACATATGAGCCCTCGTAACAAAGTTCAAACTGAATTAAGCATGTGGATACTCTAGATTACTTCCCGTTTTAAAGGCGTTTGATCGAACGCTAACATACTCCATAATCTTGTCAAGAAAAAAAAAACAAAATTATCCAAATATACAGAATTGAAATCGAAGTTTTATTTACCAAGGTAAGTCGTAGGATACAACATAGTACAAGGTCAAAACGGGACTAAACTGGCTGTGCCATTTTTAACCCAACACAGCATTCGGTGGAAAAACCTTCTGAATAAACTCCAAAAACCGTGCCGAGTAGAATGTGGGGTCCACAGCAGAGATCGACAAAGAATCGAATTGCGCAGATTTATACGCATGCTCAATCTTTTTACCGATGTTGTACTCTTGCAAGATATCGATAATGCCCAAATACAGGACCACATCATAAACCTCGTGAAACATCTCTGTCCGGTCATGTCCCGGAATATGCTCCGCTCTTGCCGGCATATTCACCCCCAGCTGGATTTGTAGTCTGTTGATTTAAAAAAAAACAGAAATTATTAAAAGTGCGACGAATAAATTTAAATATAATAATTGATGATTTAAAATGAAGTTACCTAGCTGTGCCAGGAAGGAGTAGATCAACTTCCTCGTCACCGGTTGAAGATGAAGCTCTTAATCGGCTGCCTCTAATATGTGGGCCCACAACCACGCTGTTGTCATCAGTGCCACGTGGCACCAAGACAAGGCCTTCCGGAGATATTTCATCCTCCATACACTCTGATTTTCGAATCATCACCAAATTAAATGTAAAGAACTCAATTTTTTTTTTAATTTTGAATTTTCAGTTTAGGGATGTGATAAATGCCGTTTCGCTTTTAATAATACCGTTTCGACTTCTACCGTGACTTTGACAATTTTCGAGCCTGGATTTGGCGAAACTCAAAACACGAAATTTGTAGTTCTTTGAATTAGCTTTCTAATCCAACTTGTATTACCAAGATTGAATCTCGGGTGAGAAATATATGCATGAATCAACAATTAACTCGTTCATGCATAACTTTGTCATCGGACATCCAATCTAGAGCTGATTCAAGTTGGATTCAAAAGCTAACCCAAAAGACTACAGTCTCCGTGAATTTTGAATTTTGTCGACCAGAAAAGGGTCAAAGCCACGTTCAATTTCAAAAGCGGTATTAGTAAAATGGAAACGACATTTATCATTTCAGTTAAAAGTCGATACAAATTTCAACTTACCATCTTCAGCTACGATTCCCAATCCGTCAACAGAAATGCTGCGTTGACTGTAAGACATAAGAGAGCGTAGATGTTGTGGTGCTCGATAATGAACGCCTAACAATAGGCTGTAGTCCATTATGTTCTCCGATTCCAAGAATTTGCTATCTATTTCGATCTGCCTATATATATATAAAATAAACGAGCAGCATAAATCATACGCATGTCAACTATAATCTACGTAAAATTAGACGGAAGTTTCTAGAAATATTCCAGCTCGTCAAATTAGAAAGCAAATATTCATGATTTAAAAAGATTTATTTTTCATTCCAAATATCACTAAATTAGTTTATAATCCCACTTACTGTAGTAGGGAATCTCGCCAAGAAGGTTCCAAATAAAAGCAGTAGTTTAAATCGAGATCCTTAAGTATTGTACTCTCGTCGATTTCGACCTTGTCAGCAGAACGTCCCAAAGAAGAACCTTTCAGATCGAATCTTCGATGGATCCTTAACTCCGTGCAGAACATATTTCCCATTACTACGAATCGGAACTGCAAAGAGGCAAGAGTTATTTCCCAAAATACGACATGATTGAAAAAATTTGTTAGCCACCTCAAAAAGAAACGAAATTTAATAAATAATTACCTTTTGACCACTAGAGGGTTTAATCCTGTGAAGACCGAAGAATTTAGTTATGAGAGTGTTTTCGTGTATGCGCACATGATGGTGGTACTTTGGGAGCATCCTCAACAAGACCTGCATTTTTTATTTTTTAGATCATTATTCGGGTTTATAATAAATCTAGCAAACACGAATAAATCTACGCACTTGTCGGAAAGATTGGATTTTGACCCAACTTTGACAAATTCTTTTAAGTGGTGTCCATTTGGTGAAAATGGAAAAAATACGGTAAAATCATGATCTACACTTCGAGTAGATTCGGTTTAGTATATATTTAATTTCTCGAAATCGATTTCAGGTGAACGAGAAATTAATGAAATCTCGAATTTTTCGAGATCACAAAATATGTTTGGTTTCCAATAAAAGTAGTCACAAAAATTTGAATTTAATGACATTCGACCGGCCCACAACATCCGATCGTGAGAGGAATAGTTTTTTCTTCGCTTTTACTCGTTTTCTTTTTGAGAAAATAGCTTTTTCCTAGTTCTAGGCTAATCTTTCCATTAACCAAACAAAGCCCTAAGGAAGGTCGAAATCTCTTTTTTCTTTTGAGTCATTCGACAATAAATTACAAACTCATAGCCCTCGAAAATTAGTATTTTTTTTGAAGCAATTTTGATGGATTTCAAATCCTTCAATCCAAAAGCAGTCTTAAGTATTTAAAAGCCAATCACAATTAGTGTTCACAAAACGGTTCCTAAAGAAAGTTAAGCATCACGGAACAGAAAGAAAGAAAGAAAGAAAGAAAGAAAGCAAACGGAGTTTCAGAAACGAGATATTTAACCTTAACTTCCGATTTGCGCAATGTTTTGATCATAAATCGGTCATCCTGAGAAAGGAAAAAGACACTGCCACTCTTCCCCGGAGAAGAAAGTTCTCTTAGTGCATCATTTCCACATATCGACATCATATAGTCTGCTGCATCTATCTTAAACATTTCCCTCAGATTCCTAAAAATAACCCCAAAAAAAATTTTTAAAAAAAATTCCACACGACAAGCATAGTTTTGTTTTACGATGCTAATCAAACGAGAAAAAAAAAACCTGAAAACCATGGGGCAATAGTCTTTCCACTTGAAATCCTCTGACTGATGTGACGGTGTAAGTTGCGAGCCTTCCTTAGGAAAGGTCATCCAAAAGCTCGCACGAGGCCCGAAATCAGTCACCCTCACTTCTCTCCTTTGTATCGGAGTTATTTTACCCACTGTATATCTGCTCGTTTTTTTTTTATAAACCAACATCAGTTATCATAAATAACAATAAGATTCTTTAGTACAATAAAATAAGAATCTGCATTTGTTAATAAATTATCCATACCTGATACCAAGCTGCAAACTGAGCATCAAATCGTAACTCCTGTGCCCTTTAAGAATCTGTTCGCCGGGCCGCTTTATCTCTCTAGCAAGCCTCCTCTGCCGCCTCTTCGCCCTTCTAGAAGAAGGCGAAAACCGATCGCTCAACACGAGCTCACTTATAAGCACACCTTGCATGTACTCCCTCTCCAATATCGGCGTATTCAAATCATCTTCGTTGTTGTTATACTCTCCACCCTCCAAACCATTATCGGTCACGCTTGAAGATCTAACATGCCCTATCACTTTCTCGATCGAAACTTCAAGGCTCCACCTTCTCTCCAAAGAAACATTCGTCGGTCGAGACTGCTCAATATTACCAAAAAGCCCCTCCTTTGCGAATTTATCCGACGGGTTTTGTTTTCTGACGTCCACCGAAGAAACTTGGTTCTGTTTCTTGACATCGGGCAGCAAACCTTGCTTTCTCAGAGCGTTGAGGTACAGCTGTTGTCCAGCTGGCAGCGTGTTCCCTTTCGGATAAAAAGTACCCTTTCCGTCCTTCAAACCCCTCGTCCAAGTTCCGACAAAGCAACTCCCGTCGCTCCACGTGTATATTCCGAATCCATGCATAGTCCCGTTCGACCAGCTCCCTTCGAACGAATCGCCGTTCGTCCAAGTGAGTGTACCTTTCCCCGACATTTTCCCGTTTTTCATATTCCCTAAATAGACGTTTCCGTTATTCCATACGTACTTTCCGGGACCTTCCGGAGTGCCCTGCATCCACGAACCCTCGAATATGTCTCCATTTGGGAAGTTTTGATACCCTAAGCCGTGTTTGAGATTCAATCGCCACCTGCCCTTGTAGGTCGTGTTATCGGGCCTAGTGTAGGTCCCGGTACCGTGGATGTAGCCACCGGAAAACTCGCCGGAGTAGAGAGCGCCTGAGGGCCATTGGAGTTTCCCGGTGCCGTTTCTCATGCCGCGGCTCCATTCGCCCGAGTATTTGGAGCCGTCGGACCATAGGTAGTCCCCTGCACCCTCGGGTGTGTTACCGAGGAGAGAACCGGAGTACGATTCCCCGTTGGGGAGAGAGATGTCTACGGCTGCTCTAAAGGAGGGGTTGTTGGTTTCGGAGGAGCGAGAAACGTCTCCTCCGTTTGTGTTTGTTTTGTCGGTGGAGAGAGAGTCGAGCGATTTCGTACGGCCGGAGAGAGAAAGTGCTCTTTGGACATGATTCACAATGGCCACCGGGCCAGACATGCATAATGTCCGAAGATTTTTTTCTTTTCTTTTTTTTTCAGTCACGAATTAGAATAATCCGGAATGTTCTTCTCATGGGCTCTTCTCGACGAACGTTGTTCGGCACACAACAACTTGTGTAATCTCTTTCTCACTTTCATACCTTGTGGTAACAAAAAAATGAGAATAAGCTTATTTAGAGATGTGAACAATGTGATTTCTTTTTCTTTTTCTTTTTCTTTTTTCTTTTTTTTTTTTTTTTGATTCTTTGCAAATATAACAAATATATCATGAACACAAGAATCTAAGATGAAACTAACAGATCCCACAATTCAAGAAATGGGTACAAAGATCCTTGCTTTTTTACATTCTAGTTCTTGCAACCTTATTTAATGTCAGAGATTTCTCCTATTTCAAACACCACTAAATATCAAGAAAAAAAAAACCCAAATTAAAACAAGAAATATTTAGTAAATCTTACAGTGTTGGTTTTATACAGTTAGAGCTCGAGTTTCCCCTTTTACTCCTTCCTGCAAAGGTTTCAGCAATGTCAGACTAATTCTTCTGATACGTTGACTTCCATATTCACCAGGCAAACAAAATATTAAACCCCAAAACTTGTAATAATAAATAAATTAAATAAATAAATGAACCCCCTAAATTTTGATTTTGAATCAGGAAGAAAAAAAAATAGTCAACTCTCCAAGATTATTGTACCTGACCTGACCCGGCAAAAATAAGAAAACACAGAGCAATAAAAAGAAAAAAAAAAAGAAAAAAAGAAAATAGGTTACCTAGAATGCAAGAGAGAGAGAGAGAGAGAGAGAGAGAGAGGAAGAGAGAAAGAAGAAGGCAGAAGGAGAGGTGATTATTTAATACTAATATATAATTGTTTTGTTTATTCAGTTAATTTCAGTTGAGGGTTTTTGTGAATGGGAGTGGATTCTGATCAAAGTGAAGATGGATCGGATCCCAAGAAACACAAACAACTGGGGACTAACCTCAAATTTTTAAAGTTCAATAGTTGTGGTGGGGAAACTAAACTAAATATACTTTTATTTATTTTTACCTTATCAATTCGTATATTATAATAATACTATATTCTATAATATTTTATTATTATATTTTTCTTTGAATGGACAATACAATTTCTTTGGAGTCGCTCTCAAATTCGATTCTGGCCCTTGATATTTTTCCTTTCACACTTTTTGGTCCCTAGGAAAATCTCGAGGTTGTATATAGCTTGGGTTTATTTGATGTTACATCTGGTGAAATACATTGGGTGATTATTAATTGTTGATCATCTGCATATAGTCATGCACGCATTCATGTTATTTAACTATATCAATGATTAAAAATCACCCGGCGTGTATGATCCGGTGTAGCATTTCAATAACCATCTAGCTAGTGGTGGATTTTCTTTAATCGGATTGTCTTAGCAACCGATTGTCGTAAACGTACCATATCCGGAATCGAATTCAGATTCTTTGTCAAATGTGTTTAAAATTTAATGCAACAAATACTATGTAGTTCTTACTTTTAGGATGCATTAGAATAGATAATATAGAATGTACATCGAAGTTACAAAAGCTTAAAAATGGTGATGGAATTGTGGTAGTGGTAGAGATTAAATGGAGTATGAATGATTGTACATTAGATTTTGGGGTGATTGTGGGAAGTTTTTTCAAAGTTTTGTAATTATTGTGAGAGAAGAGATGGATGATCGCGAGTTTCATCGTGCGTGGGAGATAAAAGAACTAGAGATTACCGAGTTACATCATGTTGTTGTAAATTTGTATAAAGCTCATGCTGTTGTAAATTTGAATTAAGTTGAAACTGTTTCCTATGAGTATTTAATTATTGCATATGGAATGGAACGATGCATTCAAATGGCTTCAACGATGGTCGTACAATGATGTTCGAAAATGAAAAATATGATGGTTATAAAACACACTTCTCCTGTTTCAAATTAGGTGTTTTTAAAAACACCAATTAAAAAATATATTAAATAATTTTATTTTAGGGAAACAAATTTGTATGTGACAAAATTGCCTCTCTTTGGGCATGTCTCTTTATTATTTTACTAATTTTTCATTAATGCTAGAATAAAGTTGAATAAAAAGAAGTTCTTCTATTTTAAAATTCTAAAGTGACACTCAATATAAAGAAAAAAATAAATTATGGCTAAAGTGACACTTAACATGAAACCAAGGGAGTAAATTTTTTAGCAATTAAAGATGGAAAAAAAAAATGAAAGAAGTGAAAAAAGAAATGAAGAACCTTGTAGTGGATTGGAAAAGTAAAATAATGAGAGTTGAGGGTTTTTTGATAAATTAATGAGAGTTGAGGGTGCAAATGAAATAGCAAGTTGCAGAAATATGAATGCAGATGTGGATTACACTTGACATGAAATTAAAAATGTTGACTGTGTAGTAAATAGAGTAGGAAAGGACAAAACAAGTCTTTCATTGAAAATCTAGCAAATTAATTAATTATAATTTTTTATATTTCAAATTAAGCCCTTCACCGGCCATGAGTTTCCACCACCACATAAGAATTATTAATAGTTTAATACCTATGCAATATTCAAGATTTGTTTTTTAATATTTAAATATTTATTCAGTCAAGAATTGGGCATCTAATCTAATAGGTGTCTTAAAAAAACATAAATAAATTGGTTGAATTGCAAAAACGCCCATAATAAGAGCATTTTTTAAAAAAAGGGTAAATTTCACTTTTTCTTTTTATAGTTTAGTTCGATATCACTTAACCACTTTCTATTCTCGATTGTATCAATTTGCCCCGTGCACTTGAAAATTTGTCTAAATGTGACCCTAACCGTTCAGACTTTTGACTTTAACAGTGTTTGATCCAAGTCTGAAAATTAAAAAAAAAAAAAACCACCTCTCATAATTTAAATAATTATTAAAAAATAAAAAATAAATTATTACTGGTATCATGGAATTTACCCTTAAAAAATGATAACTTGTATTTTGTCTAGCAAATATATCAACTCATCAAACACGTATTTGCAACATAGAAAAACTCTCATATATACTTAAAATATTCCTCTCATTGAAACTCTAGTTCACCACAATTTCATAATTTAAACTCTAATTGAGTCTCAGTTTCTCTAACTACCCAATTTTGACTTATAAATCAATTTTGTCTGTCACGGTTGATCAACCGATGTGGACCGCCGATCTCTACCGTTGATTTTTTCTTTATTTTCTTAACTTTTTGACCTCCACACAATAATATTATTGTGCTAACCGTATATTAATGTACATTTTTGGGGACATTATTGATGGAATTGATATAAATTATATTGTGAGCGGCATTTTAGATAAAAGACAAGGATGAGTTTTTATTTTAGAACTGATTTTGGTCTGGATAATAGTGCAAATAATTCCTACTCTATGAGGTTATATGCAATTCGCCCAAAGAAAAAAGGTTAATACTTTCTTAATTGATTTATTTTAAGAACAAAAATAAATTACTTTTTGAGTATTTATTTTATAAGAATTTGAATATTTAGTAACATGGGTAGGTCTGTAGGGCGGTTCTTTCGATCCTACACCCAGTGATAAACATTGGGTAAAACTTCTGCTGACATGTGTACTTCTTTGTATTTTTCTAAAACTTCAACAGGTTAACCCAAGTGAGGGAATATATAATAAATAATTAAATATAACACATGCCAGTAGAAGACTCGCCCGATGTTTATGACCGAAAACACCGAGTGTAAGGTCGAAAGAATCGGTGGGGGCCCTGCCAAGTAGACGTTGGGACTGTTTTCCTACACCACTAAATGAGCATGTCATAACTCATAAGCTTGTAGAAGAAAAATGACATTTCATAAATCACGCTTTGACTTGCTTCTTTACTTAAATAAATGATATGATAACTCAGATGAATACTTCAATTCAAACCTCATTTGGTTTCAGAATTAAAAATTCCATTCGATATATTTTTTTTTCTCACAAAATTATTATATAATAATCGGAATCGGAATGCATATGAAATTTAAATTTTGAATTGATTTCAATTTTCAAAATATCCACTATTTTCCAACAATGCTTTCATAATGTCAATATTATTGTATATTTCATACCATTTATGACATGCATGAATTCTGTCAGTAACTAGTAACTGTCCAAAAAAAAAAAAATCAATTTTAGAAAATCTTTTCATTCCAACTTTTGAAATTTCAATTTTCTATTTTCCATATTTTTTTCTTATTACTTATTGGGTTGGAATAAGTTCTTTCACTTACGAAGAAATTGAAAATCTTCTCAAAATTGTTAACTATGATTTGGTCCGTCCAAATTCTGAAAACTAACAAAAAGATTTATGAAATTCATGTTTTGTATTTTTGAGGATTCGAATTTTAACATGGTTAAATTTCAATAGTTTATAAAATTCTGAAACCGCAACCTAGTTATTTTGTTGATAGTGCACTTAAATCTCCATAAATTAATAGAGTTGGAACCTTCAAAATTTTATTAATTTAGTGAAATATTAACGTATCGATAAATTAATAATTATTAATTTATACATTAATTAATAATTTATTAATTTGTGACATTACTTTTATTATTATTTTTAATAAATACATTTTTTTTTTAATTTTTTTACGTGTATATTATTCATTATATCATTACTTCAATGCACTATAGAGCCCATTTCACAAACTGAAGCTCTCAAAGTAACAATGATATAGAACGATTTATATTGAGTTATGAGAAAACTATATACCGAAAGTTCTGACCATTTTAAGAAAAGCGAGGGACGAGATTGATGGTAGAGAACTTTAACAAAAAACAATCAACAATTAAATTATATTGTATTAAGCCTTCATAGATCTATAAAATATATATTGTACCATGTAATTTTAATTTTTTTTTATGCATTATTAATTTATATATTATATGGGGCTTCTTAAAATTTTCGAAAGTATATTATCTTATAAATTTAACGAATTATTAATTTAGCACGTTGTCCCCGAGTCGGGACCGGAAAAAATTATTATTTAAGCGAGGTTATTAATTTATCGAGTATTAATTTATCAATGTTCTATTGTATTTGCTATTTTAATCACAAGGTTTTCATCCATCAATTTGCACTTAGAATAGTATTGTATATACACAGCTCGCCTAATAAACTAGGGATAAACGCAAGCCAAAATCATCATTTGGCATACCCCCTGGAAACGCAAAAGTACAATAATGCCCTTATATGCAATTTTCGGCCAAACTACATTAAGCATTTCTGGCATGCATTTAGCATTTTTCATTGATTATTTAATTTTTTTTATTTGTTGATTTTATTTAAATACCCATTTGATTAATTTATTATTTATCATTTATATATTTTTTTATTATTTTTTTTTTACTTTTTTTTAAATCGATATGATTACTGTTCTGAAAATAACTACATGTAACTGTAGTAAACTATAGTCATTCGTAGTTATGTTCTTTCTTTTTATCCAATTTTTAGTCGACAAATTTTGTACATGCACGAATATTGACATATAAAAAAAAAAATTCATAAACCCCTACTACAAAATTTTTACAGTTTCAATATTTATATTATAAATTACCTCATAACCAACAAATACAAATAAAAAATACTCAAATATATGCATATGTAACTACATGTTACTAATATAACTAGTAATGTACAACAATGTATACAGTCTGTAGAACACTGTAATTTAAAGCATATGTAACTTCAACCAAAATTTTTGACACCTTGGCTTCCATTACGCTGCAATTGCAAAATCTAAAAGAAAAAAAAATTGCGGAAACAGATTCAGTGTTCCAA